GCTTTGGGTGTCTCCGGCCTATGGAGTTTTTAATTACATTTTTCTTAATTTCCGTATTTGCATTTTCACTGTATTCTTCTGAAATGCTTCTTAAAAGGATGTTGGCCCTTCCATGTCTCAGTCCCATGCCTCTTAATTTGTATTTCCCTCTGTTTTGTACTTTTGTTTCTTTTATCATTAGATTTCTTCAATTTTTAATTTTAGATCACTAACATTGCCTCAAATTTCCTGTATCCTTCCATTTATATTTTGATTTTAGCAATCATATTTTAATTCTCACAAATTCTGTGTTTGCTTCAGATTTTTCTCATTTTCATGACAGCAAGTTCCTGTTTTATAAATGCAACATTCTTTCCAGTGGTTTCCTGAAGTAGCCCCATTTCTTCTTGGCTTAGTTGTCCTCTGTTCATACACGTGTACAGTCTTTTCCTAAAATTTTTGGTAGTTTCTGGTTGCTGTTTCATATATATGAATGAAAGATAAGGTTTATTATTGTAGATAGCTTGTACCAGTTTCTCTCTATGAGCTGAACAGATGCCCCCATCTGACCTCTTCCTCGGTGAGAGAGACTGGTGCCAGCGTAGAGAGGTGGTCAGCCATCAGGCTTCCTGGGACAGCACATCAGTGGGAGGTCAAGGTGCCCAGTGAGGAGGGCCTTGCTCTGGGGGTGGAATGCTTTCCTGTGGTTCACTGCCAGGCGTCTGTCCTCATTTTCCGTGAGATGTAGAGTCCCTGGTTACCTTCAGTCCTACTCTGCTGCTTCCTGGAGTCCAACACGGTTCCTGGAGACTTGCTCAGACAGATGGCATGGAACAGGAGTTCTCTGACCTCACTGTGAGTAAAAGCCCCAGCTGCCAGCCGCACCCCTTAGGAGAGGGAGGTGGGATTTCAGCTGGCCCAGCTGCTGGGAATGCAGTTCTCTAATGAATTATACTGATGGTGTCCCCTTGGCCTCTGGTTTTGTGCTTTGCTCAAGTATTCCCTCTGGTTCTCTTGAAAACAATAGAACTCACTTCTGTTGTCTTGACTATAGTGTCTTCTGTGCTTTGATGTAACCATAGTCTTCCCCACCTGCTTCATTTTTCGTGATTCCAGTTTCTCAAATCTCTAGACAAGTGATGGCACCCTTTCTTGTTACACCTTGCTATTTGTTCTCATTCTGTAAATAACTTTTTTTGTTATTTTAATAAGATTTGGAGGCCATTTAATAGGATTTTAATAGGATTTGGAGGGGCTAGTCAAGGTGTAGGTGTGTAAGATCATTCAGCTACATTATACAGAAACCAACATGTATTGAATTTGTTGTACAAATGCTACAGAACCACATTTCTTTCAAATAGTGTCTGTGGTCTGGAGTTAGTGTTAAAAATGTTTTTGGTTAAATAAAAATATATAAGCATACACAGCATATTTCATATGTAAAACAGTCTTGCAAACAGCTGGCAAGATTTTCCATTACTTCAGCAGAAAGTGGATTTTACTGAATGATTGTGAATCTTTCTGAATCACCTCGTGGTTTGCCAGCTGCACCAAGCTCAGTCCGGCTCAGCAAGGGTTTGTTGACACTGATTGCCGTTTATTTTAGTCTTAAGCACATGATGTCTGTTTTTATCAAAACATGTATAACTCTACAAAACCTTATGGAAATCATGTGTAAACAGAGTTGAGCACATACTTTCTGCGAATGAGTTATTAGGTGTCGTGAATGAGAAGTGCATTTCCAGCAGTTACTGAGGACATCAGTGTGCTCTTTTACTTTTCATAAATCATGGGGAACATGCGATGTCAGCATGCTGCTAAATTTAATGCACACAAGAATTCCTGTCTATGCCTAATGCTGTGATTCTTAGTTTAATGTCAATTTAGCATTAAATGCCTTATCTGTTTCCTTTTCTGTACATTGACTTGGTGTGATGCATATTAGGTACAACCTTTCTTTGAAAATGACTAAATACATTTTAATAATCATGTAGTATTCTATATTTTTAATGGTAACAGTACAATTTTGCTATGAGAAAATATTTCTAATAAAAAGGAAAGATTAGGACTCAAATGTTTTAGACTGGCTAGATTTAAGAGCTATTTTTAAAATGCTTTCTCACCCCTGTGTCTTCAGATCATATTACCCACTGCCCCTCATTGCTACTTTTAGCTGCTGACCCCTGGCTAGTTCACCTAGATCCCTCAGTAGTTTTAATCCCTAATCATTGCCACACCCTCTGACACTGCACCTGTATTCCTCCTTGACAATTTCCAGGTACATGTAGAGGGCCTTTTCCTCATCTCAATGTCTTTATTGAAATCCTCTCATCCAATGATTTTGACCTGACTTCCTGTCTCAGCCCCTCCCACTGCTATTACCAGTGACTGCAGACTGGCCAGAGTCTCACTTTCGAGCATTTTTCTCTCTGACCATCCCCTCCTATCCTTGTAGCTCACTGCCTCTGGTTTCCCAACTCCAGCTTTTCTTTGACTCTATCTGGCCATCCAGTTCATTGATCCCTTGTCTCCTTAATGTCCTCCCTCAGTCTCCTGTCCAATTTATAATCTGGGATCAGGACACAGTTACTGTAATTGCTCCTTTGTACGTACTCACTTGCAAGTGCCTTGCCCTGCTCTCACATCATCCTACTCTGTTAGCTAAACCTGACCCTGCCTAAATACAGACTATCTCTTTCATTCCTGCATAAAGTGGGATATAGGGATAACCAACGCTAGTTATTACACTGATGATTAAAAAATTAACCGTGTGTATTTGGTCATTATGGCTGTATGAGCCATCTTTTAAAGACAGTATAGAGACATTTCAGATTATGTTCAAAGAAGGAAAATACCTATGGAAACTTCTCATCTAATTTGAAAGACAAACAAAAAAAAGTGAGCACGAGACCTTCAGAAGTTTCAGGATTGAAACTGCGGTTGCTTTAACACTGTCATCTGATCTGATGTTGCTTTATCTGCACTCCCAGGCCTCTGGGACAGTAGTGAGCTAGTCAGTCCTTGCACTTATTTTTTCCTCAATCTTTTCATAGCTTTTGTAGTGTACAGTGAATTTAAATAGAACATAACACATCTCTTCTACAGAAGCAAGATCCAAAACGTTCTCAAATTGCATTCCACTGATCTGTAATTGGGGTTTAACTGAACCCTGCATTGCTTTAACCACAATAAAGACATGGCCTCTTTAGTTATAACTAACATAATTGATATTTTAAGTAACAAATAAAGAAGACGTGTCAACTGGTTGTGTGCTTACCTGTTTTTCCAAATATAAGGCAGTATTACCTTTGTTTGATAAATATTTTGCTTCATGGTATACTTATGGTAGAAATCCTTTGCTCCTTCTAATTCTGTGTTCAATCTGCACATTTTTGAGATACCTTGAATTCCTTTATTCATGGCTCTGAGATCACATTGGAATTTTATCGTCTACCCAGTCCATTTAGCCTCTACCCAGGAAACTATACTTTCCTAGACTGTTATAAATATCAGCTAATATCCCTGAGATACCATGACAGCAGTTTCTTATGCAAGAGGTCAGAAGAATATATTTTGCTGGTCTAAGAAATCTATGAATGCTTAAAATATTATTTATTAGGACAGGTCACCACTTTAATAACTAATATTTACTCATGGTCATTTAGCTCAGCATTTGTTCATTCATTCATTCAGTACCACCTGTGAGGTAGGTAGAGCTCCAGGTTCTAGGAGCTCTAGAACTGAGAGTACTGATCCAACTTGGCCATCCTTGTTCTCAGCACACTACTAAGGAGGAGCAGAGACAGGCACAAACAGGTGAGCAAATATTAAATGAGATGATTCTGGAGAGTGGTAAATTATGGGAAGAAAATTAAAAAACAAAGTATAAAACTTTTGCGAAGATTGGTATCTAAGTACCTATCATTGGAGACAATGATGACAGCAAGCCAGCGACGTCACCGTCTGAGAGGAGGACATTCAAGGCAGAGGAAACAAGCTCCTGGCGGAAAATACAAGGGGTGGGAAATTTCCAGTACCTGCTCTGTTCGCCCTTGGATATCTGGTTGTTTGGTTTACTCACAGAACCACTGCCTCGCACAGTTTCTGAACTCAAAATGATAACTGACAGACTAGAATTCTGGGCTAAATCCAACAAGACGAAATGCGACTGATAGGAATGTAAAATGGTGCGTGCAGGTTCACAAACCCCATTACTCAGCACAAAATGATCTCCATGTGTTTTGGCTGCTGTTCACACGAGAACAGTCTGGGGACTCTGGCTGACCACACAGTGGAGCTTGCTCTTTGCTGTTTCTGACGGGGAGAAGCAGTGTGTAGGTATTACCCTTCATCAGGTTTCTGCCCCGTTTAAGGCATCAATAGAGCTGTCCACAAATGGAGTGGCCTGTGTGATAGGTAGAGAAATTTCCATTGCTTAACTGGTGAAAAAGTGGAGAAAGAATGAATACTCACCAGGGCTTTTGGAAAATGAAAGTCTGTATTGTTCAGAAGTCAGTTTAAAACACTTTTCAGTTTCTGTGATTTTGTGATTTATGACTTGTTTATTTCATTCCAATAAATTTTTTGCATTTGGGGATATTTATATATGGTTAGGAAGAAAATATTATTGATGTAGAATAATATATATGAAGTTTATTGAAAGTTGAGTTTATAATTGCATCTCTTAAAGTAGTAATCTGAAGTTTAAAACTCGGACTATAACATTTTTAAGAGTTTAGATTAAATTTCTAGTATGTTTTGGCCAAGTAGAATAATAAAAATAAAAGTAGATAAATACACCTTGGCCTTGCCGTGTGTTAGCTGTGTAACGTACACAACCTTCCCGCAGTTCCGTTTCCTCAGAGTGAGGACAGTGACCTGCACCTGCCTGGAGATGCCCTGAGGGTTATAAACGAGTTGCAGTGTAGGAAGCAGTTGGTGCAGTGCCCGGCCATAGTAAGTGCTGAGTAAGTGTTCGTCGTTGTTGTTGGATGTAAATGTGTTTTCTCCTCTGCCTTCAGGAACTGATGACCAAATTGATAACCGAGACGCCTGACCAGCCGATCCCGTTCCTCATTGACCATCTCCGGTCCAAACAAGGAAACCGTGGGCAGCTTCAGAGAACTTTATCTGGATCTGCAGCCCTCTGGGCAGAAAGCGAACCAGCAGGTACGTGAAAAAATATATTTTACAGTTAATTTTGATACGTTTAGTGTAAAAATTTACAGAAGTCTTTCTGATTATAAGATAAATATAGATGGTTACCTAGGGTTTCAGGTATTGATCTGTGACTTCACTCATATGCTAAAATTTGTCATAAAATATTCTTCAGTATAAATATATTGTTATGTATTATGCTTTAAAATATGATAATTTGTTCATCACATTTTATAGAAATAAGATTCAGATTTTCATGAAAAGATTTCATTCTGCATGAATTCAAGGTAATTATTCTAAGTTTGAACATTTTCTTCTTTTTATGAAGAATCTGAAATAAATGCTTTAGCTGATCTGTAGAAAGGTAAATAGTAGATTTCCACGTTACCCTTCTCGTTGCCCAAACTGATGATTATTCTCTATTTCCCCCACCCCAGTTTTATCTATGTAGTAACTTCAATCCTAGAAAGATCCATTTACCCTGGGCCTTGGGGAACCAGCTTCACCATTAGGTGATAGCCCCATTTCCCCAGTTTAACTAGATCCTTTGTTTAATCTTACAATTCTAGAAATCAAGATATTGGCTGAGTGGCTTCTCACCTGGAGTCTGGAGTAAGAAAAAACCTGCTTCCAAACCCATTCAGGTTGTTGGCAGAAACAACAGAAATCATTTCCTTGTAGTTCTCTGACTGGGGTCCCTGTTTCCTCGTTGGATTTTAGCCCAGGGTTGCTCTCAGCTCCTAGATGCAATCAGCAGTTCTTTGCCACATGCCTCTCTCACGTTATGGAAGCTCACTTCTGTAAAACCAGCAAGGGAATTTCTCTCATTCAGGTTTAGTAAGATGGAGTCCTTTATAACAAGACATAGTCATAGCATTCTGATTAGCAAATTAGCATCATCTTTGCCATATTCTGTTGGTTTGTAGTAAGTCAAAAATCCTGTCTGCACTCAGCAGGAAGGAACCTTGTAAGGTATAGCATCTGGGTACAGATGTCATGGGCATCATCTTAGAATTCTGACTGGCACAAGTGCATCATAACTTATTGTTTAGCAAGGGTGAAGGGGTGGCAAAGATTCTTAGTACTGCCAGTTTACTGACCTGGGTAAAGGCATAAATGCTTGTTTAATAAAGCAAGCTGGAAACATAGGAGTAAGTTTATGAATGACAGTAATGGGTCCATTTCCTATAGAAGAATTTGAATTTCTTGTAGGGCATCTGAGTGGATAATTCCAGCAGACAGGTATGAGTCTAATACTTTTTGGATGGGTCCAGGCAGGAGTCACAGATGAGGCATTCAGATTATATACAAAATCATTAAAACTGTGGGTGTAAAGGAATGGAATATGTTATAGTTCAATTTATAGATTGAGCAGGCAATGAACTGGAAGAAGGTCAGTGCGAGATCGTATCTGATACCTATAATGTTGTCTGTTTACTGAGAAGTGAGGTTGTTTACTGAGGATAAGAGGGTTGGGGATTATTTAGGGGAGATTGAAGCTAATGATGCAATTGTGAAAAGGCACCAAGGGAAATGAAAAAAAGAGTTGGCAAAGGAAAATAAAAAAGGACTGTAGGTAGTTCTGTGGCCTATTGGAAGTTGAAGACATGATGGTTTCCGTCATGGACACCATTAGCAAGGCTGATTTTTCAGTGCCCAGAAGTCCTGGGTGGGGAGCCGAGGAGAGTTGGAGGGACTGACTGAGAATTATGGTTGTGCCATTGTGAGAATGGAGGGTGGAAGAAGAGTTTCGCAAAATAATTGAAGACTTTTGTGAGCCAATTGTGCAAGTGATCGAAGCACATGATATGGTACGAGATGGCAGTGAGCAAGGAAAAGGTTTAGACATGAAGACAGAGCAGAGAGCCAAAGGCCTTTAGGAAGCCGTGTAAGTGCAGGTGCAGGTGCAGTGAAAACGTGAGAGAAGCACAGTGGGTTTTGCCTTCTGAGACTTCTGAGGTGGAAATATTCCAGATGATGAGAAAGTCCTGTTGGCGGCTTCAGTTTGAAAGGGTCTTAAGCTTCAGGGAAGTGAAGCTTTTTAAAGGTGAGGAGGACAACAAAGTCTGAGGCTTAATGCATGGTTTTCCTACGGTTTCAGAGGTCACCAGGGTTTCAGCCAAGTTGTTGAAAGGTCAAGGGAGACTGTGCCAATATCGTGAGTAGGGCTGTGAGATTAATCAGGGGCAGAAAGATGGCAGCAATGATGAGTGGTGAGCAGTGTAGACAGACAGCATTAATCACAAGGCAGGAGGCACTTTCTGCGTAACACTGGTGGACCTGGAAGACCCATCTGTAGGGAGCAGCACGTGAAAGAATGAACACTCTCTGGGAGCTGCCAGTGCTCTTGGCGGTGAAATGAGGTGTCTCCTAAGACATGAAAGAGGGGAGAGGGTTGAGAATGGAGGACTGTTTGTTAACCTTGAAATGTGTGTTCCAGAAGCAGAAGAAGAAAAAATGTTGGAGGAAAGAGTATGATATGATGGAGAAGAAAATCATATAATAATTCTTGGATATGAATATAACAAGAAATTTTAATTTAGGTGACAGTAAATAATGCCAGTTTAAACCCTGACAGAAATTTCAAATTGTTTCTTCTGGTGTATATTCTAATTAGCTACAAAATATCTCAGTATTCAAAGTATAGGTATAATACTTACTGAAAATATCTTAGGATGTCCTCTTATTAACTTTAAATGTATCAAACAACTTGGGACATATTTTTTCAAGTTTGTCACTTAACATTGTCAAGGACAAACCTGAAAGCTGCCTTATTTTTGTTTCTTCTTAGATATTCTAATTATTCTTTGACAATACTTATGAGATTTGCTTTGTTTCTCATATTCAAAAGTTTAATGGGAATAATTCTAAATGTATTCCTGCTTTCTGTAACTTTTCATTATATTTAATGAATCCTTTCAACAAGTAAATCCAGGTCTTAAGCCTGGAGCATTTTCCCTTTTGTTTACTTAGTTGTTGCTTCTATCATATTTGTTTTGATTTCTTCTTAACTAAAATCAAATACGTGTAAATCAAGCTTCCTTTGCTGTTCTCTGTCCTCTCATTTCATTTTATATGGTGTTTGCCTTTAAAGACTAACTTCTAGGGAGGTGTATTTGTCACCTGTGTTCCCTGGGTCACTGACTCTGTTTTCTACAGTACCAGTTTTCTCTTCCTGGCTTAGAACACAAATTTAAATGTTGGTATTGCATGTTAGCTCCCTATCAGTATTTCCTTATCTCATCTTCTCTATTGGTTTCTGGCTGCAGTTATATTTTTATCATAGATTGCTTAGCCTGTCTCCTCCCTTATTTCTTTTTGTTCCACAGAATTCATTTTCTTCTTTTGTTATTGACAAATTAGCTGCATTCTAAAATTTGAATGTTTTCAATAATAAATCTTCTGTAAAACTATCAATTTTCTCTGTATCTTGAATGTTCCATTTTTGTTTTGTATATCAAATTTTGTCTTCAAAACCATGTTTTTGTTTATTCAAACTTAAATGAGCAGTGTTCTATTTAGCTTTAGGTTTATCCGTAAATGTATAGGTGGATTTTTATTTGTCCTCTCACCAACTGCTTGAAACCTTTAAAATTCTTTTAAAAATGTTAGAGGCAGATGAAACTAATGCCACCACTAAAGTTTCCACTCTCAGGCAAATTTTGCAGTTCTCTGCTAAACTGACCAGTGACCCTCGCTCTCTTACCTCTTTTCAAACACCCAATAAGAACAGTATTATTACTACCTTATTTAAATTAAAATGAATTCTTTTTCCTTGCCAGTAGTAGAGAATTTAAAAAGCCACAAAATCCAATGTATCTTTTCCTTCAGGTTCCTTTTAGCTTTTCTTTGTATCACGAGATGCTGCATTTTATAAATAGGATTCCGTATTCCCTTACCCATATTGCCTTAAAAGAAATTTCGGTGCTAGGATGGATGTAGAAAGAAAAACTCTGAGAGATTATGAAACAACATAAGGAGATGACTTGGAGATGGGGGCAAGCCTTGTGGATTTCTTGAAATCCTCCAATATCTTTCTGAGGTTCCTTTCTTTTGTCTCAATGCTATTTGTGAAAATGTCTCCTGAGTTCTGCCAGATCACAGACCACTATTTTTAGTGTTTTTAGAATATTTATGCCTATTTTGGTACTTAATGGGATGTTGGAGATGGAAAAATTGGATGGCAGGAAAAATTGGATGGCACCTAGTTAAATACAACCCTAACATGAACATTTGAGGAATCCATATAATGTATCATGAGGTCTGTTTGACATTTATAAGTGGGTGGCCAGAGGAATATGTATAAGTCACTCATAAAGGTTGGCTGGCTTGAAAACTTAGCAATTTAAACAAGGAGACAGAAGGAAACTCTGTAGGCAGAAGAGGAAGTTGAGGAAGCAATGAATGAGGCAGAAAAGGAGCAGTCAGGTTAGTAGGACGAGAAGAAAGTAATGCTCTGAGAATAGAAGAAAAACTCTGCAAAAATAACTGTCTAAACAGGTGAAATGCTTGGTAAAGAAGTAAAAGGGATGAACTCTTGAAAAGATATTTTAACTTGGGACTTCGTATAATATTGACCATCTTCGAAAAGGAACTATAACTTTCAATAGAATTGGTCGAATTAATCTTTCTTGAAGAGAGAAGTGGAAAAAGTGAGCCATGTTCTAGAAGAAATTTAGGTGAATGTCAGTTTTGTGGGTCATAGTGAATTATGGGTAAGCTAACACCAGTGAGTATAATTTACTTAAACGTTTAGTTGTTTTTATTTACAACAGAATACAATGCTTTTTTCCATGGCAATGTTTAAAGAATGTTATTTTAAGTAACGGTAATTCATGCCATAAAAAGCCTTTCAAACAATTTCACAGTTCAGAATGATCTTAACCATACTAATGAACAAACTGACTCATATCAAATTGATAACTAAAATGTAAAGGGGAAATTAAGCTAGCGATGCTTATTGATATTTGCATTATTTTAGATATAAGGTAACCTATAGGTTTTGCTGAATATGCCTGACTTCATGAATTTGTTTTTTTATAAATCTTGAAATCACTTATTATTGAGCATATATATATTTGTTGTTGTTGTTTTAACAGAACATAAAGGAACAAGAAGGGATTTCAGAAGCTATGATAAGCCTTGGCAATTAAATGCAAAGAAGCCAAAAAAGTCGAAAAGTGACCTTGCTGTGTCTAATATTTCTCCACCATCACCAGAATCCAAATCATGTAAGGAAGTTTATTATTCAAAAATTACTTAATATATGTAAGTCTGTGTTACTAACAAAATGAAGAAAAGGTAAGAATTGAAGCCAAACATTTTATCTGATATTTCTGGCTGTTGATCCTAATGAATTTCATACCTATTTTGGCATTAACATTGAGCTTTGTTTATACCCACTCATTCATGTTCTAAGTCATGTGTAATGGCTATTTTAGACCATTTGGAATGCACTCCTTGAAGGATGTGTATCACCTGGAATGGGTCCCTTGCCTCGTGTCCAGTGCAGCACTGCATCACGTGTGACGTGACACCCACCCTACGTTTAGTAAAGTACATCAGAGCAAAGAGAGTCTTTTAGAGCAGGGACCAGGACGATTTGTGTTCAGAACATTTAACAAAATTTAGGAAATCCTTCACCCATTACTTCCCTGAAGTCCTACTTACTATTTATTACTGAAGTCTCTATATTTATTTCTATTTTTACTTTATCTCTCTCTGTCTGCTTATCTCTTTCCCTCCCTCCTTCCCTTCTTACCTCTACAGGCTTACTAATTTTATTGTATTTATTTTTTTCTTATCTTCACCCAAGAACATATTCATTGATTTAGAGAGGGGAAGAAAGGGAGAGGAAGAGAGAGAGCAACATCGATTAGTTGCCTCTCCTACATGCCCCGACCGGGGGCGGAACCCACAACCAAGGCAGGTGCCCTGACTGGGACTTGAATCTGTGACCTCTCAGTTTATGGAATGATGCTCCACACTGGCCAAAGTGAGAAACTTATTGTTTTAAAGGAGTCAGTCAGTACTGGAGGCCATCTGCTTGAGGGGAGAATGCTGAAAGGCTGCTATCCCGCAGAGCCAGTGTTTCTTCCAGGATGCTGCCGGATCACAGGATGTCGCTGATGGTCTGGCTTCTGATGATACCTCTTCCTGTTCAGCTGACCTACTGCCAAGCTCTGGTTCCACCTGACCGTTAGCTTTTTAAAGCAAAACTAATAACAAAGCGAGTTTTTATAGTACACATAGAGATTATATATGTGACAATGAGAATGTAAGATTCAGAATTATTCATTAGAAATACGTTGTCAAAATATATTAAGTTGTTCCTGAAGTAATAGAATATCTTTTGAACTTTTACAGTGATAGGTTAAAGATGATTATTATAATGTGTAAAGCAACACTACAAAGCACAAATGGCATAAATAAAAATTTGGTAGATGAATTAAAATGGGATACCCAAAGAAAAATATGATTTATCCTTCCAAAACAAAGTCAGGAAAAGAGGAACACAGAAATAAAGAACAGACTGACAAAATAGAAATAAAGGCCAAAATGGTAGATTTAAGTGCAAACATGTCAATAAGTATAATAAATGTAAATGTACTAAACAATTAAAAAGCCAGAATTTACAGGCTAGATTTAAAAAGTGTAGATTGTTTACAAGATTCATTTTAAACAAAGATACAGTTTAAAATACTAAACATAAAGCAACTTTAATGGCTGTGGTAATACCAGACTAAGTAGAATTCAAGGTGAAGGATGTACTAGAGATCCACAGACCCAACAAAGTCCCCAACGACATGGAGGGACAAGTTTACAGAACTAGAGTAAGATATAGACAGGTACAAGAATGACACCAAAAAATGGGTTAGTATATGAAAATTTTGAACACTTTTAACAACTTTGACATATTGAGGACACTCTACTCAGTGAAGTTAGAATATGTGTAATTCTCAGTGCCACATGGAATATTATTCATCAAGATAGACCATATGCTGTATCCTAAAAAATGATTGAAGTCGTATGGAGTATGTCTGCTGCCAAAATTGTACTAAAGTCAAATTAAGCCTAGAAACTTCCCTGCAAATATTTCAAAATTAACATATTTTCAGATAATCCATGAACTAAGAACAAAATCACAAAGGCAATTAACAACATTTTGAGGAATAAAATATTAAAATTATCAGGATGAAGCTAAAGCAGAACTTAAGGGAAAATTTATAGCTTTAAAATTCTGCTTTGAAAAAATAGAATAAAATTAATGATCTTGGCTTTTACTTTAAGAATATAGAAAATAATGATTTAAAATAAGCATATTGAGAAAAATGGGAAAAATAATAGAAGTTGATATAAAAAACTATACAGAAAAATCAATAAATCCAACAGTTGGTTATTTGAAAAGATTAATAAAATAGATTAAAATATAGCAAGTTTGATTTTAAAAAAGAAGAGATAAAACCTAACTACAAATGTCAGGAGTGAAAGAGAGAAGAAGACTACAGATTCTGTGGTAATATCACACTAAGCCATTAAAAGATAATGAGGAGATACTTTGAATAATATTTTGCCAATAAAACTGACAACTATTCCTTGACAGACAGAAATTACCAAAACTGATTCAAGAAGAAACAGAAATATTTAAATGTCCTATATCAATTTAAAATTTTTTGAATTTATGATTAAACAGTTTCCCACAAAGAGAACTCCATACCAAGAGGCTTGACAGGGGAATTCAAACATTTGAAGAGGACATAATACCAGGAGGAGGAGAGTACATGTTCCAGCTCATTTTATGAGGCTTCCATAACCCTGCTATTAAAATAAGTTTAAAGGACATTACAAGAAAAGAAAACTGGAAGCTAATATCTCTCATCATCATAGGCATAAAATATTATTAAATATTAGCAGTTTTATTGGTAAAAGTCTCTTGACAGAAACAGTACATTTATTTTTAACCCATAGATGGAAACTTTTGGTGGAGGTCACAGTGAGTCAGAATTTGATGGATATAATAAAGAATTGTCCAAAAGGCATCTTGCTCCATGTACTGTAGGCTGGCACGTGAGGTAGCAAGCTCATGTGAACCAATGAAGGATGCTGTCTGTGGGATACTGTGGTCAGCCTCCTGCTCTGGGGGTGGGCTTTGCCTCAGTGAAGTCAGACTCACCCTCTCTCAGATTCTTTCACTGCATATGGGGCATATATTGTTGCTACTATTCTGTTGTTTTTTGTTTCTCCCCAGAATGCTTTGGAAAAGGTCTTTAAATTCTAGCTCTCAATTTTGAGATTAAGTATAACTAGGTAAGCTCTTTAATTTATCAAAAATCTATATAGATATTTCCATTTGGAGGCTGTGTCCTTCCATTATTTATCAAAACATTGTTAGAAATCACCAAGCCCACAGTTGATTAAACCATGATTATACTGTGGCCTTGGTTGCTCAAGATTTGGTTTTCTTCATAAATTGGGTACCATATATATGTATGTATATGTATATTTCCAATCATCACAAGCTACAAGATATTTTTAAAAATTATCTTTAGTCCCACTTGAAAGTTGCTGAGAAAAGCCTTGAGTAACGTTGTATCAGTTCTCTATTGTCTCATGTATCCTCCCTAAAATTCAATGTCTTAAAAAACAGTAATTTATAACTTCTCATGGGTCAGTGGGTTGGCTGGTTTGTTCTCCTGCTGGTCTCACTGGAGTTGCCATGTTGGTGCATTCAGTTGCTAGGTCTGCAAGGCCTGGGGTGATTCGGCAGCTGGTCACCTCTGGCCGTTATTTGGGAGGGTTAATTGGGACTTATTTTTTTAAGTCTATGCTTTTATTTTGTGAATTTTTAGAAAAGAGAACTCTTGAGAGCATATGGTAATTTCCAGGAAATTAGATAATACAATGATGCAGATTAGAGAAATTGTTCAATGGAGATTTACAGAAGCGCCAAACAGTGTTTTAAGGATATGGTACAAATGTAGTTTCATCTGCTTCCTTTTCTGAGTTTCTCTCCCCTGTGCCTGGGCCTGCTCCCAGAGGCCCGCTGGGGACTGACCTGCGGGGTAACAGCAGCAGGCCCGGAGGTCTTTCCTGGAGCCGTTTAGCAAGGTCACTCTGTCCACTCTCACAGCCTGGTCACCAGGGTGTTGATGTTAGCTGACATCAGGCCCCTTAAACAGAAAACCATAGAGGAAGCAGCTGCATTCTATTTGTAAATTTTAGATTCATTTAAATTCCAGAAGTAATATTTGCTTATTTTGACAATTAAAAAAATACAGACATGTATTAATAGAGTTTTTTCTTTCTGTCCACTCAAATTCTACTCCCTCAGAAATAGTTTGTATCATTTCACAGGTTGCATTTTTACATCTTTTCCTTTGTGTAAACTAGCATAAAAAATATGAGTTGACTTGTTTTATAAAACTGGCTTTAAACTGTAAACATAAGTAATGTTCTTTTATCATTTTGAAATGCATTGTAGACATTATGTCCATGCTACTAGACTTAGATCTAAGGTATGTTTTTTAATAAGTGCACACTGTATCATAGAGTGAATGTGCCTTAATTTATTTATTCTCCTGTTGAAAGACATTAAATTATTTCTAGACTTTTTGCAACCAATAATTGCTGAAATTAATATCTTGTACTTCTTGATAAAATAAACAACCTTATAATTTATATATAAGTATAGGTATTTTTATTGCTTTATTGTAATTTACCAGACATAAGATTACTGGGTCACAGGGTTAGTATATCTTTTTATTATTTTTTTAATAATAGGTTTTATTTTATTTATTCTATTTTATTCATTTATCTTTAGAGAGAGGGGAAGGGGAGGGAAGGAGAGAGGGAGAGAAATATCAATGTGTGGTTGCCTCTCATGTGTCCCCTACCGGGGACCTGGCCTGCAACCCAGGCATATGCCTTGACTAGGAATCGAACCAGCAACCCTTTGCTTCACAGGCCCATGCTCAGTCCACTGAGCTATACCAGCCAGGGCTAGTATATCTTTTAATTTAATAGTTATTGCCAGATTACTGTTTAAATAGGTGGAAGAAAAGATATTTTAACAGTTTCTCTTTTCTATAGCCTTACCATATAAATATTAAAAATTTTATTTTACCTATATTTATCAAAACAAAAACATATATGATTTAAAAAGTAAAGTAGTTAAGCACTACAAGACAATAGTGTTTTTTCTTCTTTATTCTGCTGCTAATGTGAAAACACTTTGAACTCTTTTAGAAGTTGCTTTTGGTACATAAGTCTAGACATCTAAACATACAAGGTACTTAACATGGTTCTCCTTTACTTTTTATTTTATTTTTTAAAAGATTTTATTTATTTATTTTTAGAGAGAAGAGGAGGGAGGGAGAAAGAACAAGAGAAACATTAGTGTGTGGTTGCCTCTCATTCACCCCCTACTGGGGACCTGGCCTGCAACCCAGGCATGTTCCCTGACTGAGAATTGAACCTGTGACCCTTTGGTTCATAGGCTGGCACTCAATTCACTGATCTTCACCAGCCAGGGCTCCTTTGTTTTTTAAATTTGAGGTGTTATCTCTTTTTGTTTGTTATTTTACTTTTATTTATTTTTAAATATTTATTTATTTATTTATTTATTTATTTATTTATTTATTTATCTCTAGAGGGGAAGGAGAGAGGGAGAGAAACATCAGTGTATGGTTGCCTCTAGTGCGTCCCCTGCTGGGAACTGGCCTGCAGGGAACTGGCTTGCAACCCAGGCATGTGCCCTGACTGGGAATTGAACCACGATTGTCTGGTTCGCAGACCTGCACTCAATCCACTGAGCTACACCAGCCAGGGCTTGAGGTGTTATCTCTTGACCTCCTTCTAGAACTGTGTGCTTTGCACCCAGACCGCATCTCAGCACCCCAGTACAGTCACACAGATGTTCCAATGTTGGTTGAATATTTTACTCTGCACTGATGTAAGTAAAACTACATTAATTAGCCTTTTTTCACAGTACAGTCATAAGATGTCCAACTATTAATTTGTTATTAGTTGACTATTAATTAAAATTAATAATTGACCGGTTTTTCTGTTGTTTTCTATGTAACCATCACTAATACTTCACCAAATCCTGCGTTAAAGTATTACATACTCTCACTATGATCAAACGCATCAAGTAATCCACACTTCAGTCTTCTGTTACATTTTATACTTTGTTTCATTTGAACAATGTTAGATCCCTCTCTCCTGTAGCCCTCTGTCGTCTTGCTCCAGTGTTGGCTTCTTAGTCTCTCTAGCTGCTTTCTCAGCTGAGCTGTCTCCCAAGACTGCTCTTCACTGTTGTCGGGGATCTCTTTTCCTTTTTCTGCTGGAGGATCACCGATTCCCTGAGTCCCAAGTCTTCCACTTATCATTTGGTGGAGTGCCTCTGCTAGGAGCTTTCTGGGGGGAAAAGTGCTTGCAAAATAAATTTTGAGTCTTTACAAGTATCTTGATGGGACCTGTAGTTGGGTATAAATTCTAAGATGGAAGTAACCTCCAGTTGAAATTTTGAAGGAATTTCTCCCAAGTCTTTTGTGTAGAAGAAGCTTGTTACTGAGAGGTTTGATGACAATTTGGTTTGCTGTTTTTGTCTCTGAAAGCTTTTAAGATCTTTATTGCTGCTCTTGTAAAATTTAGTAATAATATGCCTCAAATTATACTGGATATTTGATGAAGTCTTCTCACTTAAAAAAGAAAAAAACAGTACCTTTTATATTCTCATCACTTTGTCATTTGTCCTCCTTGACCGATGCTTTAATGCTTAAATGGTCTGAAGTGTCCACTTTCTAGGGCATCTCTCCCTTCAGGGATAAGGTTTCAGTATTTTCTAGTTTGCTATATCTGTGTACCACTCATCAATCCATCTCACATCTTCCAATAAACTATGATGCCATTTCTTGCTTAATAATGGCTTCTCCTTGTTTGCTAATTTTTTAACCAAAAAAATCAATAAAAATTTCTTTACCATAACATGATTTTAGTGAGAGTTTGGAATTTGGAGGGAAATGAAGGTAAATATGTTATATTAGAAGACAGCAAGAATGTCTTAAAAATATTTACTAATTGCTGATGAAGTCAGCAGCCAGTGATCATCTTTAAGCTGCTAAAACATAAACAAAATCAACTTTACTCGAGTGTTTTCTTAAATTACAAAAACTATTAACTTTGAACCAATACCTGAATTTTCTTTTTTCTATAAACATCACACTTGTCCATTTAAAACATTTTTTAAAGGCAGCTTTATAACTTCCCCACTGTTTGCTCACAAAACCATTTCCAAGACAATCAGTTTTATTCTGTACAGCGATCTTGGTACATACAGTCTTTCACATCATTATGAATAGTAAGTTTTTTATCACTACGGAGCATGCTTCTGAAGTAATCATTTTTTTTAAATGTAGTGCCAAGGTCAGTAGACCATCCTAAGTGGAACTGGCGAACTAAACCAGAAAGCCGTGATTTTGATGAATTGAACCACATCCTTCAAGAGAGCAAGAAGCTGGGAAAAGCCCTTGAGAAGCTCTCTCGAAGTAAGTTCAGTTACTTAATTGTAATTGCAGTTCCTAACCAACATTAAAGTAGAAACGTTCATTAAAAATTGCCAGTAACCCATTTTAAACATCCTCATTCAAATTCTGTGAGAGGTTGAGGAGTTCTAAGTGCATGAGATTGTGACTAAGGATTGATTTTGCATGTTACACAGAATCACGGGAATACTGGTTATACAGAGTAGGCAGAACTACAGACTCCCTCATCCCCAAGGTTATTAGACTTTCTCCTTGTACAGCGTCTCTGTTACTGAGGTCAAGTGTACACCAAGTGTAATGGTATCTATTCATTCTTCTCTTCTGAACCCTTTTGTTTCGTGTCATTTTAGTGAACAAACGTACCTATCACTTCCATGAGGTTTTACGGTCTCTACATTTCTGAAGAATAGTAACTGGGGCAGATTCTTCTCAGCATCCTGTCCGGGCCTGACACAGTACATTGTAACATACTTTTTATAAAAGCAATGATTCTGGAATCCAAGGGCCTACGATAGAGGTTTTGCTCTGCCACTTCTGAGTTACTTTGGGAGCAAACAATGATGAAGTGAGCGTTCAGCTTACTGCTATGTTATGTTTATGAAAAGCACCTTATCCTATTAATGTGTCAAAGGCTTATATTAATACATATAAATCTTGATGCCATAGAAACTTTTGTTTATATCAATGAGCCTATGGTAAAAATTGGTTTCATTGTATATCAGTTTGCTTAAAGTTGCAGAATATACCAGTGCCGTTAGGTGAGGACTAACTATATTTCACATTTAGATTACATATGCTTTTGAAACAAATGCCTAAAACATATCTAAACTCAGATACCTCACTGTCATGCTAAATTTCAATATATCTGAGTAGATCAAGCCTCCCAGTTCTTTTTCATGCCGTGTCTAAGACGGTGGTGCCCTCAGTTACCAAGTCACCCAGCTGGAGCCCTCTGGACTTCTGTGTCCTCCTTTACCCTTCAAAATTAATTCTTACCCAGTCTTGCTCATTTTCCCTCTAAAATACATCTTGGGTCTGATTCTGTTCTCCAGCCCTGTTAGTACCCCTAGTTCGCACTCACAGTGGCACTGACCAGATCACTGGCTTATCCATTTAACATGTTCCCCATCACTCCTGCCCCGTGTTAGGAGAGAGGTGCAGTTCCTGCCTTTACTGAGCTTGCATCTGGCTAGATGGTGATGACCTTATGTTGGACTAGTCTCAAGGCCAAAATCCTGTGGCTTCACACAAGTACTTTCTCACTCAGAGAACAGCCTGTGGAGTGAGCCAGGGCTGTGGACTTCTTCCATCTGTTACACTGCCATCTTCAGCACAAGACTTCTGGTGGTCCCGCCGGAGCAGGAGGAGAGAGTAGAGGATCACAGGAGAGGCTTCTGATGCCTCGAGTTGGAAACACAGCCTTATATCTGCCCACGTTCCACAGCCAACAGGAAGAGAGGCTGGGAAATGCAGTCTAGCTTAGGTGCCTAGGACTCTTGAAACAGTTCGGGGCAACAAGTAATTGTCTTGTCCACACTCTTACCTCACTGCCCTCACTGGCATCAGTGTGGTGGATCTGCGGTGAAAACCTGACACTCACTTGTTCCAGATATTCCGTGGCTTCCTAAAATCTCACAGGAGGTGCTCCATGACCTGGTCCTTAATCACATCTCTAGTATTATCTCACATGCTTCTCAGGCCAGGTATGCACCAGCAACACAAGAGTTTTTGAGCCTTGCTCATGTTCTTCATTTCCTGTGTTTGCTTATGCCGTCCCTGTGTCCTGAAACCTCACCCGACTTCCCTCCACAGCATTCCTTTTTCCCAAGTGAAATCCTATGGCGCTCTTTAGCCTCAGCTAAAAAACTACATCAACCAAGCTGATTTCTCTGTTGCTGTCCTTCTCTGGACTGAATTTGGTGCCTGTCTTTTTGTGCTTCTATACTTCTCCCTAAACATACTTTTCTGCTATTATTAAATTTTCACTTATCCCCTCCCTGGACTTTGAGCTTCCTGTGGGTAGGGCCCTCTGAGCCTGGACTCTCCAGTGCAAAGCACAGGGATTAATGCATAACTCAGTCTGGACTTGCTGGGTGAGCACGACCTCTGGTTTCAGTTCTTGTGACCCCTCTTCTCTGAGACTCCACCCTCACTGTTTCATCACTGCAGACCCCCTTCTTCTTGGAGTGTGGGCCTCTGATATGAGATTACATGTGTTTTGGTGTTCATAGATATGCTGTATTTGGCTTTTTTGGTAGTTTATTTATTGGGAAATTATGCTTAAAAATAAATAGGTAAGTAAGTAGGTAAGTAAATAAATAAGCTGAGCGCTAAGAAGCAGCTGTTCCCTGTTATGTGACATTGCTCACGTAACCCTCTGCTCAAGATGTGCTCCCAGGGTAGCCGGGCTTCTGGTGCTCCTGGGGCCCAGTGCCCTTGCTACTTCTGGCAGATTTCTCTGAAATGAGACCGTGATGGGATGAGAATCTTCAGTCCATCCAGACAGTGGTCTGTGGATTGCAGTTAGTGTGAAAACACTGACTGGGGCTTTACCAGGGAAACATGGGCAGCTGTTGGGGGAACGGTGGACAGATACTTGTGCTCCATGGCTGACAACAGCAATCTGGACTCAGCCAAGGGAAAAAGGACTTTCTGAGTTAGCCAGTCAAAAACACACCTGAAAAGTCACGTTTGACAAATAGCCTGAGAAGTTAGGGCAGCAATTTCAAGCCTTTTCATCTCATACCATGCATAAAATAATTGCTATATTCTGTGGCGCACTAAAATATATATATATTTTGCCAATCTGACAAAAATACATATAATTTTGATTCATTTACACTGGTTATTGTTGTGTTGGCTGTTGTCATTTTTTTTTAATTTAACAGTCTAAGGGGAAAGAGGTCAATGCCCCTAAATAGTCAGGCATTGCATGTTTTAACAATTCTTGTGGCGCAGCAGCTGAAAATCACCAAGTGAGACAACAGCAGCCTGTGAGTGAAGATGGAAGCAGATAATGTAGCAATTGTTTGTTCATTCACCCCACGTTCATTTATCAAGGCTCCGCACATTTCTGTGGGAATACAAAGGTGAATACAATGTCACCCAGAACTCAAATTTACCTTTAGTAGGGGAGGTATTTGTGAAAAGCAGAATTTCAGAGACTTGTGGAAAGTGCTTTAGGAAAGTTGAGTTGGGTGTAGAAGAGCCCCCATAGGGACTTAGGGCCAAACTGATGGAGTATATACCTGAACAGAGTGCGGAAGGATAAAGAGGTCAAGCAAAGGCAAAGGAGGGTGAGATGAGTCGTGCAGAGGGATGTTCCTGGCAGAGAGAGAAGCATGTGTATAAGAAGGCATTTCAAGGAAAAGAAAATTTTGTATTGGTGATGCGTAAAGAGCGCAGCTGGTAATAAAGGAGATGAAAATGGGAGTCTTGGTAGCAGGGGTCAGGGTGGGGACTTTTATGTTACAGGGCTTTGCAGCCACTTTGATGGCTCTGATATGATAACATTTTCTTTAAGGCCTCAGTTCAGGGTCTAGGAAGACCACGTGGGCCAGCATCAAGGGTCCCACGACCAAATCCTGGGCTCTTCTCCCTTATGGCATACGGTAACAACCCTCTCACTACATTTTCCCGTGTGTATTTTGTGTTCTCCGCTGTTCCTGGGTTCCTATAAACTTTAAAAATATTATCTTAAAATATGACAGCTTTTAAAAGCTAATGAGTAGCTGTGAATGTTGTGCTAGGCGCTAGGGGGGAGAGTCGTGGCTGCTCATTGTAAATGGTCCCCACTGGAGCCTCACGCTTCTGCTAAGTGTTTCTTTAAAATTCTTCCAAGTTTTCTTAGTCCCTTTGAGCTTTGATTAAATGTGAAATAACAAAAAGTGAAAAGTACCCTGGGTAATTTGAAATTGAAAATAGGGAGCAGAAAGAACTATATGTAATAGAATGGAGATTTATTTAGATAACTTATTAGGCAAAATCATCAAAATAGGTAGGTGTGAGAAAATATAACAATAGGTATCTGGACAAAATACGTCAGACAAATGCTTAGGATGATGAGAGGTGTGATTCTTTCCCCAAGGCAAGTTTTCTGTTGATCTGCTTTGAGTTTTATTCTGGGACCCATAATTTTCTAGTATGTTAGTATGTCTTCGTAACAGTCTCTTTCACTGGTGACATTTCTCGACTCTGCAGAACAACTTCTGGTAGTTGCTACAGTTGAGAGTGATGGACAGTGGGCAAGGCTCCGAGAAACTGGCTCACCAGTGATGGGCAGGTTCTTTGTGATGCAGGTTTTGGATATTTAAAGGCCCTTGACTTACTTGCTAATTCTTGTCTACAGTCTATATAGGTAAAATATTATTGCTGTCTTTATGAATAATGGATTCATAAACTGAGATGTAAAAGAAATGTAAAGATCAACTGATAGCTTTCTAAAAATTTAATGAAAAAACTTTTTTTGCGAGGCCAAGCACATTTAATGTAAAAAGTTTTTAAAACTCAAAAGCATTTCAGACAATGAAATCATGGATTATGTAATTCTAGGTATCTAAGGTTTATGACTTTGGATGAAAATGATAATTTTGTTTTGTATATCTACTATCTCCCTCTTTTAAAATAGATTAAGTCTTAAATATTTATTTTAAATAATATATTCATTTTAATCTTGAATTTGGATTGGAAAAGAATGTTTCCATGGTATTAAATGTGAATTTAAGCAGTTAAATATATATTTGGTTTTTATAAACTGGGATAATTATTAATATAGACGGTGACATAAACCATTTGGTGTTCTATAAAATTCCTACATTATCTTAAAATCTGAGTTATTCCAAGTGACCATTTATAACTTTATACATTTCTAAACCCAAACATTTATAAAAGTGTACTTATGTTAGGTCTGTATCAAGGTTTGTAATTGCTCAGAAAACGTAGGGGTCTCTTACTAATTTCACACATACTCCATGTTGCGCGTCCATTATGTCTCAGAGCTCCCCACTACACGCACCCAGTGCGGACACTGGCCGGCCGTAAGCCCCTCCTCCCCAAAGCCCTCTCTCCTTTGTTTGAACGAGATGCTTAATACAGCAACTCCTTGAATAATTGTTAAGCTTAGGTTACCCAAAATTCTCAAAGTGGTAACTAGACTCTCTTTTAGTGCAGTAACGTATGAAATTATTTGCTCCCAATAATTTTTACCAAAAGAGAATTTCATGGAATGTTGCTGTGAAGAATGAGTCTGGAACACACCTGCATTTCTAGTTTTATCTACATGGGGAAGACTGGTGCTGTTCACCGAGGTAATTGATTTACTAGGTTAGTGGAGTGGGAGGTGGTCTGGGATCCCATAAAGTACCCTCCACAGACACTGTTCCTGAGCACGTGAGAGGACCATTACGCAGGCATTTTTTCTTGAGTGTATTCAGTTCTCTTTAATAACCCAGCTCATTCTGTCTTGCACTTTATAGTTTGCTGAACTTTAGCTTCGATTATTCTTATTTTCTCTGTTCCCTTGGACTCCAGACTTTAGACCTTTCCTTGTCTTTTTGCTCACCCCACACCGAGGTTTAACACCATATTCCTGTGTCCTGTGCCCCACACCTGACAGCAGCTCCACAGTGCCTGTGGCCTGTGTAGGCCACAGTGACTGTGTACAGCATCAGGCACAATGTCATTCAAAAAAAAAAAGTGGGGGAGAAGTGATACCAAGGGAGAGTGATGTGTGTAGCCTGACATGGCTGAAATGCCCAGAGGAATTCAGCAACTCGCTCAGGAGGAAAATCTGTGCTGCAGAAAAACATTTGTTATTTATCACCACATACAGAAATAAAGATGTCAGTGTTGTGGGTTGAATAACCAAGGGAAGTATAATGTCCGAGGAGAAAGACAGCTCAGCAGAGAACCCTTGGCATTTCAGGAGAGGACTCCCTCCAAAGAAGAGGATTCCTGTAAGGAGACAAAGTGGGAGAATAGAAAAGAGAGGACAGCATGTCAGAGAGGAGCGTGAGCTTAGCAGTGTCTATCATCACAGAGACAGAAATTCAAGGACTAGATTTTTATATTACTGACCCAACAATTTTGGAGAAATGGTAAAGACAGGAATTAAAATGACGTACAGTGAGGAACGTGTGGATGATAAGCAGGGGAGTTGTGGGGAAGGATTATTTATCCATTGGCCTAAGAAGCTGTCAATCTAGGAGACTGTGGGACAAACCCCTGAAGCTCTCTAGTTAGTGTGCTCATTTGTAAAATAAGGTAATTAAAATAAAATATCTGCAGCGGCCATTCTGCCTTAATATTTTATCACTGTAGGAGTTTAACTCAGCTCATAATCAGGAGTGGAATTGTAATGGGCCGAGTTGTACTTGGCAGTCATTCTGACATAAAGACCACATCCCTACAGTTACCCTTGTGCACTAGCTGTGCATCTAACAAGAAGCATGCTATCGGTGTGTTTTTGTTGCATCACGTGGATTGTTTCAGCAGTTCATGCAGTCATAGTTGACTTAAATTCCTAACTTGCTTTCATTCGTAGAAAGGATGTACCACATTATTTTGAAGCATAAATAAAAAGAAAAAGTAAAATGGAAAATACAGTAGTTTTACAAATAGAGCTTTTGTCTTTGTTTTTAACCTTGGGTTATTAAATATTGCTTCTAAAACATTTTTATAAATCTCTTTTGAATCCCAGGTATTGCAATTTCAGATGAACTTGATAAGGTAAGTTGAACTATATACATCTAATAAAAAGAACATGTAGAATATAGATTGTAATCCATGGTCTAAATGAAAAAGTTTTTGAAACATAAAATGTTCAAATATAGTTTATTTGGTGCTAATGTTTTAAATCTTTTAAAGTTGTATGCTTAGATTTTTTAAATGAAAGTTATATGAAATTAAAAATATCACTTATTCTTTTGAGTCAAGGATTTTTGAGTTTGGCTAGAGAAAAATGGAATCACTGTAATTATCAAAAACAATATTAAAACATAAAATCTAGTAATATTTATTATGTAAATTTGGATTCTGCTTGTATTTTGATAATGATGATTGATGATCTTACTCTTTTCTGTAACTACCCTTTGTAAACCTTACTTAGGATGGATTTTTTTTTTTAATTTTAAGATGCCAAGAAAGTCTTGCGCTGGGTGATGGTCATGAGAGTGGTGAGGAGCCGTGTGATAGGAATATATTTTAGCACTAGTATCAGTGGAACTTGCTGTGGGTTGGAGCTCGGAGTGTTGAAAAGATCAGTCAGGGGAGATTCTTAGTTTTGGGAGACAAGAAGCTCAGGGAGCTGTGGGGCCATTTGCCAAAATTAGGGACACGAGTGAGAGCAGATTTGGCAGGTTGAAGAGTTGTTCTCTTTTGGGTTATTTTGAGTTGTCTGTCAAACATGTCCATATGAGTTGTGGCTCATAAGAAAGATTTGATTTGGTGTTATATGTTTAGGAGTTATTGGGATAGAAGTTCTCTTTCTTTTTTTTTTTTAATTCTCAGGGCTCCTTTACAGCCTTAAAAATTATAGAAGATCCCAAAAAGCTTTATGTAGGTTATGTGTATTAATATTTACCATATTAAGAATTAAAACTCATAAAAATTTTACATGCATTTATTTTAAAATAGCAATGACAAAATCACCACATTAACAAAAATGCTTTTGTGAAACAATATTTTATTTTCCAAAATAAGGAATTTGTGAGAAAGTTACATTATTTACAATTTAAAAAATCTCTGTAATGTTTGATTAATTGAAAACTGCTGAATTTTTATATCTGCTCCTTCAATCAGTCTGTCGTGATATGTTGTTTTAGGTGACAAAAAAAATTGACAGAGGCATATATAGTTGGAAAAGAAAGAAGCACCTAGAAATAGCCATCAGTATTTGGTGAACATTGATAACAAATATCTTTCTAAACAGAAAATGTGCTGAGTTTGGCCTAGTGGTTAGATAAATAGATAGAAAGAAAATGGTAGAAAGTATTGTACAAAATTGAAATAATCATGATATTTTAAAATAATGATCTATAATGTAATAGTTATATTATTTTTATAAAAATACTTAGCATTTTTATGTTCCAAATAGGAATATACCTTTTGAATTTTAATAAAAATATTTATGTTAGTACAAAAAAATGTTCCCACTCTCACAATACCAAAGAGATGCAGATTTCCGGCCTCCCAGTCAGCATCCTTCACCTTCCTGGACCAGCCCTGGAGGAGAGGGACAGCCTGCCCCAGGGCTCCCTCTGGTGACCACAAAGCTCACAATTTTGCATTTTCCTCAGTAAGAAAAAGAGTCTCAGGCAGGTACTAAAAAAATAGTTAAACAGAAAGATTTACAGTTTGTAGTGAGCTGACACCTGTGTCTTTAATGTAATAATAAAAATAAATGCCTATTCTTCCTTTCAGTCTTTCATTAACAATTTGGGTGTCCACTAAAGATATATATTTCTTAACCTTTATAATATACTGACATGTTAACTGTCATTTCATTGAAATGATTTCTTCTGTGACCTTTAAAATTAGTTTATGAATTCTGAAAAAGATAAGAATTATGAATTCTACTTCAAATGGAAAGATAAAACAAGGCTGATCATATTTTTAAGCCTTTTAAAAAACTGTGTGAATTTTATCAACATCTTACTGTTTAGCCACTGTGTTGGTTTTTTATTACTGCTGTAACAAATTAAAACAAGATGACTTATTATCTTAGAGCTTAGAAGTTCAACGTGAGCTTTCCAGGGCTAAAGCCCAGGTGTCATAGGGCTGCATTTCCTCCTGAATTTTAGGGAAACCTGGTTTGGTTTGGTTTAGTTTGGTTCGATTTGATATTTTTTTCCTTTTCCAGCTCCTAAAAGCTGGCTCATTCCTCGGTGCATGGCCCCTTTTTTACATCTTCAAAACCAGCAACGTCTCATCTCTGTCCTCAGGCTGGGAAGGCTTTCCACTGAGGAAGGCTATGGAACCATGTGATTAGGTTGGGGCCCTTCCGCTAATCCAGATACTCCCCTTCCTTCTCTTCAACGTATTTCGCCTTAATGATGCAAAGTTCCTTTTGCCATGAAATGTATCATATTCGCAGGTTAGGGTATCAGGATGTGGATGTAGCTGGAAAACCATTATTATCCTATCAGCCATTACACAAATTTAGATGGTATTACCTTTCATATCTACACATAATGTTTTAAACCCTGCCATTCCAGTTTATTCTTCAAAGTGCCATATGGTAGACATGGCTGGTGGCCACTAGGGCAGAGTGACCCATCCTTCAGCTGTGCATGTTGGTGCTGTGGGCTCATCCATCACCTGAGGATGGATTTGACTCAGTGGGACCTGTTCTGCCCAGGAATGCCTGGGTTGGCCTCAGCCAGGGACTGAAGGAAGTAAGACTCTGAGTTGTCATTCACATTCCAGAGCTTTCTTAGGGGGTCAGGCTGAGAGTAGACTTTAGCTGAACTTTATCTTTGCCTAGTTTCTCCCCATTTCTCCTGACTCTCCATTCTTTTGTAGGTTTCACTTAAGAGACACTCACCCCCAGTAAATTAGTTTCTCAGCCTCTGGTTCTAGAGAACTCTACTTAAGACCTTCACTGGAGGAATCGTTCTTAAACCAAATCTTGCTGAAAAATTTTCTGTGACTCATTGATACCTACCAAATTAAGTTCAAATTTCTTAAGTCTAGAATCAACGGTCTCCACTGAAATCTATGTCTTATGCTTTATTTCACTCTTTTTACTTATCACAGTCTTCGCTGTACTCAACAAGGACTAGTGTGAGGGAGCCAGACTCAGTGTTTCCAGACCATATTTTTATTTATCGTCAAATTGTTGTTCATTACCATCTGCCCTCCACCCTCCCTCCCCACCCCCACCCCCAGTTTTCCCATCCTTCCAGCTCCAGCCTCCCCTGATCACTCTGGCAGAAAGTGATCTCACTTCCCATGAGCTCTTAGGGAACACAGCAGCCACGTCACAAAGGACACTTCTTGTGTCATGGTCAAATTCTTGTTCACTCCTTGAAGAAATAGCCTGGTATTTAAAAAAAATCCACAGATAGGCTTTGGTTCAATCATGGATCCTTCTGTTTACTAAGTATGTAACTTCAGAAAGTTATTGATAGATGCTGAGCTTTAGTTTCCTTCTCTGTGAGTGTAATGTTTTTTAATACATATTAAAAATAACATCAGTTACTCTCCCCAAAATAACTTCAGATTGCTAAAAAAACATCCAAAATATAAAGTGATTTAAATAAATACTTGGAAAAATTATTTGAAAGGGCAGAGGAAACATATGAACCCACTACACAAAAATGGAGTTTCACATCATTGTTTCAGTTGAGTGTCGATTGAGCCTTTGTCACTTGGTGTCGTCATCACACAGAGGATCATAGCAAAACAGTTGTTTAGAAAAAAACCAGCTATTTCTGCTACTGGATCCCAAGGAAAATGTCTCCCATTTGTCCTCATGAAGTAGGTACTGTATAATGTGTCAATAATATCCTAAAAATATTCTTATATTTCTATGAACAAAATGATGCAATTGAGTGAAAAGGCAACTTTTGGAATATGAGAAGTATTTAAGAAGAGGTTAATGTTCAGAATACATAAAGAACCCCCAACTCAACAACAACAAAGCAAATATCCTGATTAATAGGAAGCAAAGGACTTGAATAAACTTTTCTCCAAAGATGATATACAAATGGCCAAAAAGCATGTGGAAAGATGTGCATATCACTAATCTTTAGAGACCTGTAAATCAAAACTGAGATAGCACTTATACCCATATAGGATGGCTACTATATAAAAACAAACAGAAAAACCCAGAAAATAATAAGCCCCAGTGGGGGTATAGAGAAATTGCTTTTTGTACTATTGGTAGGAATGTAAAATGGTGAAGCTACTGTGGAAAGCAGTACGGCAGCTCTCAAAAACATTGAAACTAAAATTAGCAGATGATCCAGCAATCCTACGTTCCCATTTTTGGGTGTATATCCAAAAGAATTGAAAGCAAAATCTCCAAGATATATTTGCACACCATGCACATTGCATCATTATTCACAGTAGCCAGAGGTAGAAGCAACCCCAGTGTGCATTTGTGGGTGAATAAATAGTCAGTGTGATATACACAGCCAGTGCAATGTTATTTAGTCTTAAAAAGATAAGAAAAAAACGAAAGGAGTTCACCATCCCCAAACCACTATTATATGAAATTTTAAAGGGACTGAAGACAAAGAAGTAGAGCAAAACTATGAACAATAAAATGGCAATAAATACATTTCTATCAACAATTGGCTCTAAAAAACACAGTAAGTGAACAAGAACAGTGACAGAATCATGAGCACGGAGAAGGTTTTAGCAGTTGCCAGCTGAGAGGGCAGTGTAGGGGAAAAGGTGAAGAGATGAGGTGACTAAGAAGTACATATAAGTAGTTACAGAATAGCCATGGGGATGTAAGGTATAGTTTGGGGAGTGGAGTAGCCAAAGAACTTACCTGCATGGCCCACGGACATGAACAAGGGTGTGGGGATTGCCTGAGGGAGTGGGGGGTGTTGGGAGAGGGCAAAGGGGGAAAATCAGCACAAGTGTAATAGCATAATCAATAACCTATAGTTAAAAACAAAAAGGAAAGAATCCCTGTCACATGCTACAATGTGGATGAACCTCAAGGACATGATGCTAAGTAAAATAAGCCAGCCACAGAAAGATATGTACTGTCTGAT